AAAAAAAAAAAAAAAAAAAAAAAAAAAAAAGCTAAAAGTAGTTGATTTTTCTTCCTAATTCTCTGCATTTCATTACTGATACATTTTTTCAGAGAGATAATCTCGATTTCTCATCTATTCATTTATAAATTCATTCATCTGAAATGATCTTCACACAGACACACAGAGACAAAAAAAAAAAAAGGACTGAGGACTGAGTATCTGATGAGTGTCTGTTCAGCTGCTGATAAGATAGAGAAACTTGGAAAGGTATCTCATTTTCAACAGTTAAAAACCCAGATGCTAGATATTGGGTCCTTCTATGTAGAAAATTCACAGATTATCTGTCTAAGAAATCAGATTAATAAAGAGTCCTATAGCAATCTTGTGTGAGCTTCAGACACCTTGTTCAGTGTACTGTGATTGAAAATATACTCTGGTTATTTCAGTACTGGTCAAGTGGAAACTAAAATAAAACATAACATTTTATACCCGAATTCCATATCAGGATATAGTCTTCCTTCCAATGCAACCTGACCTTTACTTTGTTTTTACTTATTCTGGAATCACTTGTTGAAAAGGTTGAAAGATTTTGATCCATTTCATGTGAATTTAGAAATAATTTTTGAATAAAAATGAAATAAATTGAAATACGTTTTTGATCATGCGGTTATTGCACACTGTGCTCTAAATCACTCCCAGTCCATCTGAAACATTTTACACTAAAGTTGAAAATAATCTATTTTCTGACTGAAAACACACTTAGTTTCTGCAGCTGATGCTTGAGCTTGCCAAATATACAGTATATTTGGCCAAATATACTTTGTCATTACACCTAACCCTCTCACAGAAAACTATTGTTTTGGAGGAAAAAAATCTGGAAAAATAATTGCAATCCCACAGACCAAACAGAATTCTGTTCCCCTTTGAATACTGAAGGCTCAAGAAAGCATAGATATTTGACGTTGCATGCTCCAGACATTTGTATGTCTTAGTTATTGTTTCACCGCCTATCTCAAACCATCTGAAAAATCACTGAAGACAGAGTGTGCAGCATAGCTATCTTGAACAAGGACTGTCTCAATGCAATTGTAGCCTTTTTCACCCAAAGAGAGGAGGAAGTGTTCAGAGGGAGAGTATTAAAAATCTTGGTTGAGAATTTTTGACTGGCTTGCTTTAACTCATGGCAATAGTCACAAATATCCTGTGATGTCAGTACATAAAACACACTGATATTCAAGTCCCAGTTTCAAAGAGAGCATTGTGAGACCTAGATTGTCTGTGGTACTTCATGAAATGAAGCCATACAATAGACTTAAGATAGCCTGTGGTGGGGATTACTGCACTCAGCTTTTCGTTTAGTAGTTGGGTATCTTCCCCAAGCATGTGGTCTGTGTCTCCGTTGTTATAAGTGCTGGGAGCTTATAAGAAGGCTGATCATTGCATCCTAAAATGCAGTGATACCTAAAGCAGGGATCATGAATGACTTCATAACTGGAGTGTTTTTTTTCACTATAAGAAGTCATGATGCGCATCCTGATTTCTTTGTCTTGTTCCGCTCAAGAAAGTTTCTCCTGACAAAGTAAACTTTCAAAGCAGGAAAAAGTAGAATGATTTTTTGGTATTCTTAATAGTAAAGAAGAAGCTCCAGAAATAATTCACTGCTATTCCAGAATGAAGCCTGTTAGAATCACCTGCTTTCCTTCTCTGGCATCCAAATCCTTTCCCATAACACACTAGTGTGATATGGTTATTCTCACTCTGTTGAGTTCATGGGGGAATCATTGGAAGGTACCTTTTTCCCTTGCTATTTTCATCAAGCATACATCATGAATTGTGCATAGAGCAAATGAAAAGCCTGTTCCTGAGCACATAGGTGGCAGTGACATTAGTGTGTCCTCATTATAGCAATGCTGGGCTCAAAGTCTGGGTAGGTATTATGGGATGTAAATAATATAGGTTTATGCTCTATAAAAGACCCTTGTGGCTGCATTTCCTGATAAAAAAATAAAATAAACAAAAAATAAAAATAAGATAAAAATTATCATATGTACATTGTTCTCAAAGGAGAGTTTTCCCAGGGGAAAGAGTATCAACATTTCTTACATGAGATGTTTATTTTACTTTCTTTTTCCACAATGATGCAATGCTTTTATGATCAACATTTCAACTTCTGACTCATCCCTGAGGAAGTAAAATGAGGACTATCTGTGTTCAGCTTGTCACTCCATGAATTTTATGCGTATTACATGTTCTGGATCTAGTGAAAAATTTGATACCATTGCAAATCAGCTTTTTACGCTTTTAAGATTCAAATATGTTTGCACATTGTTACATACCTGTAGTTTGTTTCAAGGAATGGTTTTCTGTTCTGTTCCTCCTAAAGGAAACTAATTCCTAATAGCAAAACTTATTTAAAATTTATGGTAATCATCTGTAGATGCCAGCTCTTATCAGTATTAAAATAATCACAGAATGTCCATGTTTCTCCTCAGATATGTTTCCATTCTATCCATAACCTCAAACAGCACTACTTTCATTTCCTTGTGTAGGAATTTCATAGGAAAGCATTGCAAAATGTATGAATTTTTTTTTTAATTTTTTTTTTTTATTGTCTGTGATTCCATTTTAAAAGAACATCATATCATTTACCTACATCATGCAGGAAGAAGTAGCAGGCAAATAACAAAATTTACATTCACAAGGTTTATACTTTAAATAATCTTCTGGCTGCTTTTTGGAGAGTACTGCATGCATCTTAAAGAATGCTGAGAAGTATTTCTACTAGAAAATGCATTGTTAGATTGACTTCTGCTCTGTCCATGTGTGTGGGCAACAGTGGAGAACAGAGAGAGAAAACAAGCAATATTTTAATGTCGGTATTGAAACATTTTACTAACTCAGCACATGAAGAAACAGTATCTTGATAACATATTCAGATTGAATACAGACAGGTTTCAGATACATTAGACATTACTTTGAGGTCACAACAGCTGCTTTCTAACAACGCTTATTCTAGCACAGTAAGCTTGGCAAAAGGATGTACTAAGCAGCATTGGTGTGGTGTTTTTTGACGAAGGAAAGGGGCTAGGAAGGACATAAGCCAACATATGGTACTAGAAACATAGACTGAGGAACTCCAGAGTGATCTAGCACATGATCTTGTATTTCATTTTATTTATTTTAAACACGAGTATCATTCATAATTAATATTGCAGTCTGATTTCATATGGCTTTCTCTAAAGATAGGTATGAGTTTGCAAAGGTCAGTGGCAAACTCATTTGCCCTCCAAAAGATGGAGGCCCCTTGAATTTGTTGGTAACCAGAAGGGTCTTGGAACTGCAAAGGAAAATGGCTGCAGTTTCTAGCCACCAACATTTCTGTGTAAATTAAAACTAATCAACACCTGCCACCTGAAACAAACAACCAAAACCAAAACCAAAAAAAATAAAAAAAAAAACCCAAAAAAAAAACCACAAAAAACAACACCCTCCCCCCCAAAAAAAAACAGGGGGGGAGGGGGGGGAATGAGAAGGGGCAGAAAGAAAAGAAAAAAAAGAAAAAAAGACCTCATTTACGGAGATTGAACAGACCAGCAACACAAATGAAACAATGGCATGGAATGACAAAGAGAAATTCAGAATCCAAACAATGAACCATACTTATCTTTGGTCTTGTTCAAGTGCTTCAATGCCTGCTTGTGTGCTGAGGGGGATAGTGTCTGACAATGCTTCTCACACCTATACATCAGCCAAAGGTCTTGTGCACCATGTTGGTAGTGCAGGGTGGGAAGGGGAAGGGGAAAGAATGGGCACAAGGGAGGGGGGAGTGCCTGCTTTCGAGTCTGTTCAGAGTGGCTTAGGCACTTTGGAGACGAAGGAATGCCTTGGGGAGAGGCCCAGAACTCATACAAGGTGCCAAAGGTTATCTGAGACAAAACCAAGAAAAATCTGCCCAGTGCCTGTAATAGGTCTTCTGTCATGTTTCTTTACTGAAAGAAATTTAAAATTAAAATGAAAATTCATATCTGGCAGCTCACAACTGGCTGAACTCTATTGTCCATGAAGTAGGTCTACTGTGGGCTGGAAGATTTGAAGTACAGAAGCGATGACATGGCTGGGCTGGAAAGCTCTCACAATGAAAAATGCTCAGCAAATATTATTCAATAAACCACTTCCCCTTTTGCTCCTGCTTTGTGAGCCTGGCTTGTAACAAACTCCGCACAGTGTTCCCATGCATTTTTCAGAGTTTGGATCTAGATGTACACACCATTCATGGGCTCAGCTCACAAAAAGAAATACCTTTTTTTTAATACTTTGCGTGTGGGAACAATGCTACCTGCTTATGACATTAGAGCATAGGCTACACAAGATTCTGACTTAGACCAGTCAGTGGCGCAGCTGTTGAGGCACAATTAGAAAAAAATATATCAAATATCCCTCTGTTCTCTCTCCTGACCCTCTGTTGTTTCCTCTTCCACACACAAGTGCACCCGTCAAGGTGCCAGGAAGAATGAACACCAACAAACAATTGGCAGTATCGTCCAACGTAAGGGATAGCATGTAGCAAACCGTGCTTCTGCCCCATGGGCAGTATTTGACTGGATGAAGAGATGAGTTCATTATGGGGCGCTAGGGATAGGTCAACAAACAAACCTTAGAGAAATCCAAAGCAAAGCAGTATGAGTTCATCCTGTTGTTTGTTTGTACACTCCTCCAAGACAAGACCAGGGGAGATTATAAATGAATGAATATATGTCTTTTAGCAGGGGAACTTTTGTGCTGGTTTGACTTACGCATTAGGGAACATAGACCAACCACTCACATCACTCAGAGTGTTTCAGAAGATGTGACGTTAATGTGTCAACAGATTTCACTACCAATGAATGGCTGGAGCAAAGAACCAGGCTCTCCAGCTTTCAGGGGTGCTGGATCTAATTCTCTCTCAGAGCATCAAAAAAAACCCTGCTGCCTTTGTGGCAGGAGAGTTTTGAGATCTACTTAAATAAGCTTTATTTAATTTACTTAAACAGGCTTTGCTACTTTAATAGTTGCTGAATTTGCATGGAGTGAGTAGGACACTCTCCCTAGAAAATGATATGTTGCTCAGCACTACCCAAGTACCGATCCAGAGTTAAAGAGTGTTCTGGGTCTTTGAAGTCTTAGTGGGACACACTCATTTCACTGTAAATGAAAGGGCAGAAAAGCACTGATATTATCTGAAAGAGTAAAACCTGCCTTCTTCTTTCCTTGCAAAACTCACAGCAGTTTGCATGTCTTGATTGTAGGTCCAACCCAGAACAAGTTGCTTTTTTATCAGCCTGTTTTGACTTGTAGATCAGTTAAACATCCTTAGCTTCCACCCTAGATTTGATAGAAGCTTGCCACTGAAGTTAGTTGGGAAGCAGTAAGGACTGCTGATATACCCAAATAAGAATAGGACAAAATGAATATATTTATTTTCTTTCACGGTATTTTTTTCCCTACTGTACAAGATGCTGTTAAAAACACATAATTCACACTAGTTTACGTAGTTAAGGCTCACTGCCTCAACTATGATGCTTATACTTACTTGAAAGGATGACAAATATCTCTTTAAATTCCGTATCCAGAAAAGTACAGGAATATTTGCCTAAGGTCAGTTATTCTGAACAAGTGAATCAAGTGATTTCCATTAGGGTAAAATGCTTAATTACTACTACAAAAGTAGTACTGTTTACAACAACAGAAAGGAAAACAATCTGAGATATTGCTTTCCTTTCTGTTGTTGTAAACAGTTCTACTTCTGTGAGGCAAACCACGAAGACATGGAGATGGTACTTTTCCACTGTACATGATGCATGCTGGTGAACTACAAGTTCTCCGCCTTTTTTAGTCAGTAGATTCCTACCACTTTAATACAGTGTCATAATGTTATAATTTTGAAAAACTAATGGGGAGGCCAAGATTCACCCTTCAAGGAAAGGAAACTACCTTTTCTAAAAAGAAATAGCATATCATTGAGTTAGGTGGACCTGTTTAAGTGTAAGAAAAACCTGGGATAGCAGTGGAGTTGGACTCGATAGTTCCTTCCAACACAAGATATTCTTTGATTCTATGGTTCTGTGATTATCCTGTAAGATTGTGAGACTGCGATGGTGTGATGCTCTTACAGCAGCTATTACGGTTATGTAGCCAAATACAAAAATTCTACGATCACCTTTTCAGATGACAGTCCAGAAAACTTAGCAAGGGATCGTGTTCAAAGTAAATCTATTGAGTGTGTGTTGTACTAGCAAATCAACATCTCCAGAAGAATTTGGCTTTTCTTATTTAGTTACTCAATGCTTACTGTGCCGTACTGGAAAACATCTGTAGCTATGTCTGGCTAAGGTATTAAAGACAATGCTAAGAGGGCGATTTTCTCATACTTTTATACACACTACTATAATATTAATTAGCTCCTGCAAAGCACTGGAAAAGAACTGTGCAATCCATCCTTACTACATCCTTTTACAGTAGGTGTAGACTGAAAGCTCAGTTTAACAGCTGAAGGAGCTGAATCAGAAAAATGAATTATCTCTCCAAGGGAGCAGAGCAACTTAGCAAGAAATGTAGGAAACTTAGAATTTCTGGCTCTCCAGTGTCTTGTCTAACTTTCACTTTCTCCCACAACTGCATTGAAGGATGGGTAGAATACAATAATAACAATTTACTGGAGACCAAATGCCTTTCCTGCAAGCACTGCTGGGAACGAGATTGTCAAATATGGCACTGGGCAGAAAGAGGAAGTGTAGTTAATCAGAGGCCAACATTCTTGGTCACTGACTTCCTAGGAGTGGAAAGGTCCTCTAATAGTACCACACACCCTACTGTAGTTCTGGGTCTCTATATGGCATCTGTCAGACCAAATCTGCTCTTCCAAGTTAAGTGTATGGCTAATTACCAAAGTGACATGACTCTTGCTTAGATTCTGAGGCATTTAACTTCTATCAGCATCTGAGGGCAGATGACTCACTTCTTCTATCGTTCTGAGTGATGTCAGCTGTGTAAGTCATGCATGATTTAGCTTCCAAATGATTTTTTATTTATGCCAGTGATGGAATTAAAATTGAAAAGCTCTGCTTCCATGGGAGAACTGAGATATTCCTTCCAAGGGTAGATGTACTCAACAACAAATGGCTAGTGTGACCCAATCAACAAGAACGTTAATAAAAATAATTAATAATTATTATCAGTAATAATAATTAAAGAAAACTAAAAAGGATACTGTTCACACTGAGTGAACACTTCTTCTTGCTTTGGGTCAAAATACATGTGAGGTTGTTCCTTTTCTATGCTTAATGTACAGTTGCCTTATTTAACATACATAGTACTATGGCTTATAATAAAAGTTGTGTAGTCTGCAGCTTTTTAATCTGTACATCCATTCAGAGGCATCTACTGGATGTGACTATGTACAAAAAAAAAGGACTGATGAGTCTTGGGGTAGAGGCAAAGGGAAGAGGCAGTGGAGAATGGGAAGCAAAAGGACTCCTAGTGAGCATTAGAGGGCAGAGGTGCGTGATGGATGGCAAGATTGTAAATCCCCATTGGGCAAAAGAGAAATCCTTTGCAGTACTGTTTATGCCCATCTAGCAGTCTGCAGTTATTACTTCTTGAACATGTCCTGCAGGGGACCTGGTAGGTATTTGATGACTGTGTCTAGAATGCTCTCTTCTTCCTCCTCCTCCTCCTCCCCACAGCCAGGAGGAATAGCCTTCTTTGGACGAGTCAGGCTTCCTTCAGCATTAGCTTCCAGTGCAGCTTGGGCCTCTGCTTCTTTTTCCTCCTTCTTCTTTATCCCATACTGTAGGGAAAAGATAACACATTGTCAGTCACCCTTTCAACAGGCTGGCTGATCAAGAGATCTATTGTGTGTGGTGCCTCATATTCTGTAATATTCACACCATTGCAAATGTTCTGCTTTTCTGTTTCGCAGACACCCAAATTACCATCTCTAAAGCTGTCTCTTAAATACAGCCCAGTGGACAGACAGTACTCTCAAGACAAGACGGTCAGATGCTGAGATGATCATTCAGAAACAAATACAGGAGAGAATTTGGGACCATCGAACCATGGGCCTGGCAAAGACAATACCAGCTGTGTGTTAAGTCAGTTTCTGAATGGTATTCTACTATTCTTAATCCTATCCTTTCTCTTACCTATTAAATCTGATGCTGAAGGCTGTCATCCAGAACCTGAAGAGAGCTTTTGAACAGGAGAGGGAACGACTGTTTTTGAGGGTGAATAGTGCTCGTACAAGGGGGAATGGGTTTTAACTAAGCAGATGTTTAGGTATTAGGAGGAAGTTTTTCACACAGAGGGTGGTGACACACTGGAACAGGTTGCCCGAGGAGGTTGTGGATGCCCCATCCCTGGAGGCATTCAAGGCCAGGCTCTGGGCAGCCTGGTCTGGTGGTTGATGACCCTGCACATAGCAAAGGCATTGAAACTAGATGATCACTGTTGTCCTTTTCCACCCAAGCCGTTCTGTGATTCTATGATCATCTGAAATAATTTTGAAATTCCATCTGCAACATTTTATAATAAAATAATATGGATGAGGCAAGACCTCATTCTCAGGAAAAGCTAATTATCAACAATGTAGAGCAAAGTGGTTAAGACAGACAGGCAGACTGAAATAAAAATGACAATTCTAGACAGACTGAGATGGGGTAAGACCTCTCAGTAAAAATAAACCTTCTTAAGACACTGATTGACATACCAAACTCTACATGTATTAAAATAAAGCTGACACATCCTGTCTGGAGAGAAACATTCCTATGCCTGCGAGCATAATGGATACCTGAAATTCACTGCTCTAAATGAGAATTAAAGGCATGGAAGTTAGATTTTATGTGAATAACCGGAATTCCATTTCATGACTTTGTATTCAAATTTTTAAATTTAATAGGGGAGTAAGAATATGCCTGAGTGAATGAGGCTGGGGAGAGCAGTGCTGTAGTATTTCTACTCCCACAGTGACTCAGGTTTTCTTTCCATCTTCTAGTTTGGAGGCATGTCAAAGGAAAATAATTCCTGTATCTCCAGCTCTTATCACTCTTCAGCCCTCATACATTTCAGCAATTCTCGGTTTTTAGTGGTATATGCAGAAGTCCTTGCATTGAAATTTTTGAGATAATAGCGATAGATGACAAAACCAAAATCAGTTCTAACTGTCATATGTAAATCTACAGCAACAAAGATATATTCAAGCTGCCTTCATCATTACTTGAAATCACTTCAGCTACAGCAGAAGCATTTGACCTCCATGAGGAAGGGAAGGGCACTCAGGTTTGCTGAAGCAGCTGTCAGCTTCAAGATTCTTGCTGTGCTAGAGCCACTCCCTTATTTCTGCTTAAATTTTAATAGAGGAATTAAGATTGCTCTCAGCATATAAGAACTATAAATTGACTAACCAATTTAAAATCCTGCAAATGTGAGCAAAACATTTGGCAGGAACAGGCCTCTCTGAAAAGAAAATTAGGTATGATTTCAAAAGGATCAAAGAATTGTGTTGGTACAAAGTATCCAGTATTTTCTCATTATCAATAGTACAGAACAGCTGAGCAGACATGAAGTAAATGTCTTTTTCACAATTTGCTCTTTTCATTTCTCCCATAAAGAAGGGCCCAAATATTCACAAGTGAAGCATAGAAAAATCCTTGCTGCTGTCACGACTTTCTGACTTCAGATGCTTTGCGTTTTGACAAGAAACTTCTAAACATTTCTGAACAAAGGCAATATTTTTGGTTCTTTTCTCCATCATCATTCATATTTAGGATGACATTCTGTAAAACTGAAGCCAGTAACATTAAAAAATATCAAGTGATACTCTAAATCAGTTCTTCCAAGGCAAAATGTTCATTAATGACATCTTATGATTTTTATACCTAGTCAAATGCCAGTCAAATCAGACTTCATGGAAGAGACGTTCAAGACAAATGGTGTGATCTGAGGCTAAGGAAACGTCTGATTGGCTCGCAGCCACAGAGCTCAATGCTGGAAAAGAAGATCCAACACAGCCAGCACTGCAACGGAAATGACACGCGTAGCAAGTGTTTCTCCCAAATTACACCTAATGTCTTCAGGTGTTCCCCAGCATCTTTTGTCTGCACACAGGACTTTCCTTTGCCAGACAGAGGAGAAAAGCAGTATAAAGACCACACAGATCACAGTAATCCACCAGTCATCTGCAACTCCTTCTCACTTCAAGTATCATTTCATGGCTGGTGGATTCTGTAGCTTGTGAACTTATTGAATAAACATCCAGGGATCAGAATCTATGGAACAAAAGCAATCACTCAAGTGCAACTGTGTCCTCTGACTAAGGGAAACCTAAATTATATGAAAGAATTAGGACTATACTTGTCAGCCTGTTTTTCTGTCTTTCCTTACGGAGTTTTTACTGATTGTACTTTCTGAATTTCATGGTGCTAGACTGACCTTAAATTTTTACAATGTATGGCCAGTTTTACGGGCAGCTGCAGTGCAGAGCAATAGAGGCCTGGGAGAGAAATCTTCACTTTGAAAGACCAGTAGAGAAAACCAGATTCCACTGTACCAACTTACTGGCAAAAGCTGAAAGTGCAAAAATGTGTTTTTCTTGTTTGCTGCCAGACATGATGCTGTAACATGAAGAAAAGCAGTTATAAACTCCCAGTACCTATTTAATACCCAAATGTAATTTATGTTTTGGAAAAAAATATTCTTCCTTAGAGAAAGATGTAATTTCATCAAAAGCATTTCTTTCTGAGAAGGGGTCAGCTCTGATTACTCAGTGTTAAAATTATATGCTCTATAATCAAAACACAGTGCTGTAATTTTTTGCAGCACGGAAAAGTGGCATTCTTTAGGAATGAAACTGCTTCAGATGAAGTTGAAAGGAGAGTCTTAAAGTAACAGGAACAAAATAATGAAAACAAGCATTGTAGTTTCTTCACATTAAAAGTTTTGTGTTAAGTTAATAAAGAACTTCAAAAATACGTATATAACCAAAAAATATAATGGGCCTTTTTCATTCTCTGGCTTTTCTGAAGATGGGAAAAAAAATTGCATTACCTCTAAAACATGTGAAGGATGAGAATAATTTCACATTTTTCTCAAAGTCTAGCTCCAGAGAATTTAGTATCAGAGGCTGTATTTGTGTTTGCCAGCTGACCTCTCTGATCTGTCAAGGTCTCTAGGTGTGACAGCATGAACAACTGATGAGTCAGTAATTCCCTTCAGTTTTTTTTTGCATTTTTTTTAAATAAAAAAAAAAAATAAAAAAAAAAAAAAAAAAAAAAATATTACCATCATCCAGATCACTAATGAAAAAGTTAAACAGGATTTGACCCAGTACTGATCCCTGGGATACACTGACAACTGCCCTCTGGGTCCAGCTTTTCAATCAGTTTTTGATTCATCCCACTGTCTGCTCATCCAGCCCATACTTCAACAGCTTCATTATGATGAACTTATGGGGTGCAATGCCAAAAGAGTTAATTAAGTCCAGGAAGACAATAATCACTGCTTTCCCCTCATACGTCAGGCTCATCTATCCATTTCATTACAAAAGATTATCAGACTGGTCAGGAATGACTTCCCCTTGGTGAATTTATGCTGGCAACTTTCAATTATTTTCTTCTCTTTCAAGTACTTGGAAATGATTTCCAGGATTAGCTGTTCCATCACCTTCCCAAGCATGAAGGTGTATTCCCTTGTTCTTTTCTTGTTCTTTTTGAAGATAGGAGTGATATTTGCTTTCCTCCAGTCTTCGAGCAACTCTCTCACTTGCTATCAAGTGAAGATAATAAAAAGTAGCCTTGAAATCACACAAACTAGTTCCATCAGGACTCATGAATACATCCCATAAAGGTCCATAGACTTGTAAATTTTCAGTTTTAAGTATTCCCTGACCTAGTCCTCTTCCACCATTCAGCCTGGGCTTTGGGACCTGGGATTCCTGAAGACCAGTTCTGCTGTTAAAAACTTAGGCAAAGAAAGCATTCAGTACCTTTTCATTATCCCAGGTAATCAGGTCTACTGTTTCCTTCAGGAAAGGGCCCACATTTCCCCGATTCCTTTTATTACTGAGATACTTATAGAAGCCCTTCCTGTTGCCGTTGATGTCCTTGGACAAATTCAATTCAACCTGGTCTTCAATTTCCTCAACTTGATTAGTAGCTCTTGGACTTTTTGGACAAAGTTTTTGTATCCCATGATATCTGTCCTTGCTTCTACCCTCTGGTAGATTTTTTTTTGTTTTGAATTTGGCCAGGAGCTCTGTGTTCATCTATTCATGTCTCTCGATGTATTTTCCTGACTTCTTGCCTTCTTTGCTGGGATCCTTGAATATTAACCACCTTGATTGGGTGTGTCTTCCTTCCACAGATTTATCCCACAGTACTCTACCAAGCAGATCCTTGAAAAGGTCAAAGCCTGCTCTCACAAAGTCCAGAGAAGTGAGCTTGCCTGGTGCCCTTCTCACTGCTTTAAGGATCTTAAACTCCACCATTTCATAATCACTGCAGCCAAGACTGCCTTTGAGCTCCACATTCTCCACAAGACCTTCCCTGTTGGTAAAAACAAGGTCCATCATAGAACCTCTCTCATTGGCTCTTCTGTCACTTGGAGAATAAAATTATCATCAGTGGATTCATCAGTGCATTCCAGGAATCTCCTGGATTGCTTATGGCCAGCTGTGATGTCCCACCAGGAGATGTCAGAGTGATTAAAAGTCCCTTAAGTTCCTACACAGTGTTTACATCTGGAGGGTTGGCACCTGGAGACATGCAAAAAGACACCCCAGAAGACAGTTGTGCACCACCCACAGTGTTGGGAACTGTTCGTGGCTGCTTGTTGTCACTGAGGATGACTGGCAATGTCGTTATTCTCCCAGTGTGTAAATACCTCATCTTTCCAGGGTTCTCTGAGAAGCCTGACATTGTTTTTAAGTTTTCCTGAATATAATGCTGCATATAAGCTAGCTATCAGTTTCAATTTCTAGGAAAAGTTTGACGTATGACTAATGAATGATTACATTACTCTTTAGAGGATTTTTCTCCCCACTGGTTTTGTGTGGCCACAAGGTAGAACAGAATCTGTGCCTGAACATACGCAACAAATACAGCCGTCTCTGGAATTACTAATTTAATCAGTAGGTGAGTGAGCATTTAAAAGTTTTTTCAGCATTTAAAAGAATTTTCAGAACGTGTTCCTTACTTGCTTCCTGTATAAATTACAATATGCCTTTTTTTACATAGTACTGTCTATGAAATTTCATTCACATTGTAAACCATAACAACAACCACAAAAGAATGTACGTATCAGCCAAATTGAAAATATACATTTAGAGAAGTCAATGAGAACAGCTTGCCCACCTTGATATCACAGTGGCCAGTTTGACATAAACAAGTCCTCTACTAAAAGCCTTCTGCAGTGAAGAATTCTCACCTACTCTTGAAGTTTACAATTCTCTATCATTAAAGTCTGCCCTGATTATTTCTGAGATGACTTCTTAATTCAAAGAAATTTGGAAAACTGAAAAGACACAGGTATTGTGAAAAGATTTATCTTTCAACCTGCTGGGTTTCACTTACTATTTGTTCTAAGTTATTTTTTCTACCTCCATTACCAAAGAGAATACCAATGCAATGTTCTTTCAATCTTTCCATTTTCCTGCTGACCGCAACACCCGTTGTGCATTCTCCTCTGCCATTCAGGCAAGGGAGAAGGTAGAATAACTGAATTTGTAATTGAACCTCAGAACAAGAGGGGTAGGAGATAGGTGTTTATTTGTTGTTTTTTGTTGTTTTTTTTTTTGTTGTTGTTGTTGTTGTTTTGTTTTTTTTCTAGTTATTCATAAGCAATAAATTAAGCTTTTCTCCCAAAACTAAATTTGTTTTGCTTGTGATGGTAATTAATGCATGAACTCCATGTCCTTAGGTCAGCCCACAAGCTTTTTCATCTTATTTTCTCCTCATCTTGTTGGGGAAGGGAAGTGAGGTGAGCACCTGTTGTCTAGACAAAATTAATCCACCACAATAGGTCTGAAACAAATTTTGAGTAAAGTCCAAGTCTTAGAATTGATCTTTAACTCCACAACATTGGAAGCCTGGGGAACAGAAAGTAATTTCTTTTGAAAACAGTGGAAAAAATAAGTGTCCTTCTGGCAAAATTGAGTAAATGTTCCAAAGAAGGCTGCGAGATCTTCCAGAGAGTAGAAAAAAAAATCATCCTGCTTGCTTCACTTTCAAAATGTTCTATGTACTTTGGGCAATCCCTTTTCATTAACACAATATTTTAAGGTTTTTCTTAAAAATCATTTTGTCGAATTTTAACTTTGTGAACACTTCAGCAATGTAAATTCTAACTACACCAGGTTAAAATGAATATAATATTAATTTAATTATTAATTAATTTATCTGGGAATGTCCATTATGAATGAAAATTATGAATTGAGGCCCTGGAACGTGTTCAAAGGAGGGCAACAAAGCTGGTGAGGGGTCTGGAACACAGGCCATATGAGGAGAGGCTGAAGGAGCTGGGAATGTTCAGCCTGGAGAAGAGGAGGCTCAGGGGAGACCTCATTGCTCTCTATAACTTCCTGAAGGGAGGTTGTAGTGAGCTGGGGGTCGGCCTCTTCTCTCGTGTCATTAGTGATAGGACCAGGGGGAATGGCTTCAAGCTACGGCAGGGGAGATTCAGGCTGGACATGAGGAAGTATTACTTTTCAGAAAGGGTGGTCAGGCACTGGAATGGACTGCCCAGGGAGGTGGTGGAGTCACCGACCCTGGGGGTGTTCAAGGAAAGGCTGGATGTTGTGTTGAGGGACATGGTTTAGTGGGAGCTATTGGGAATAGGTGAACGGTTGGACTGGGTGATCTTTTAGGTCTTTTCCAACCTTGGTGATTCTATGATTCTATGATTCTATGATTCTATGATTGCTTTCAGAATCACAGAATTATATTATTCTTTACTGACCCATAATATATTTTATGCACAGATGGGACTTGTACAGCACTTTTCCAATTTTTTTTAGCCTTTTTTTTTTTTTTTTTTTTTTTTAAATTGGGATTCTTCATTAGCATGAAGAGAAGCTATTTGCAGAAAATATATTTATGCTTCATGCTTCAGTACATTTCTGGAAGAGAGAAGTGAAAAAAAAAACAGGATATGACAGTCCTCTAAAACAAATTTTAGTTTTTATTTCAAGTGGTCATTCAAATTTTTAATTTATATAACTAAAAGAAGATCCAACTTTTCACATGAAAACATTAGAATCTTATATAAAAATTTAAACAAATGTTGTACATTAACCAGTTTGAAGATCTTCTCCCTGGACAATCAAATTATATTAAATATATTACTGCCAATGCTGTGATTTCTGAGAATTTTATCTCATGCCAGGAAGTGAATTGTTTCATGGACAGAATTAAGATAAAAGAATAGGAATGACTTTGTCTATTCTTAAACGGT